CGGAACATGGGCCGCAACCGACACCAGTGGCGCGTCTGCTGCCGTCTACTAATCGGGTTACCTGTTTAAAGTGTGTTTGGTGCTGAGTTATCTGCGGGATAATGGCTGATTATGACGCGTGGCAGTGAAAGCCGCAAGGAAGCTGTCTCGCCGATGCCGCCTTATCTTTGCACGATAGCCAGCTGTTTGTGACAGTATGTTGTTAACACAAGGTGTAGGCGCCTTGACCCTGAATGTTTGCTTAGGGCATTCAGGTTTTCAGGTAAGTCCCCCTTCTCTCCCTCTTCTTATTCTTTATTTCATAGGTCTTTATGGTTGTATGGCAGCGAAGCATCAGTTCAAATGGCTGATGTACTGCTGTTGATGATGCTGATGACGAGGCTAATGTGCTGCGTCACGCAGGGTAGTTCAGCCGTCTTAGCTTGTTAAAGTCGTCTTACTTCCATCGACCGCATGTGGAGTCCACACTTTCCAGCCTTACCTGTTTGGATAAGGGGACAAACTTTTCCGACTGCACTACTAACTCTCATTAGCAGTTTCAGTTTATACTAACTTCTAGGGACACAGGTTCAACGTATGCTTTTTAATCAAACTTCTGGTTCGGATTCTGATGGCACTATTTTCAATGTTTTTCACAAGATTATGCCACCGACCGTCTATGCTGCTCCTGTTACATCTGCAACGGAGGATTCCGTGGTTTTTCGTTATGTACTTACGGATTCACCTAGACTGTACCCTCATCTACGATTCCGTTGGACGCATGTGTCTCTGCTAGATATGTTGGGCCGGCTCCCTGAGGGGGGGGAGTCGAGAGCTATGTTCCGGTTGTTCTTCCCTTTTTCACACACCTCAGTACCTTCAAAATGCCGCATTGAACCAACGTCAACGTCGTTGTTTACAGTTTGGTCATATTCAGCGTTTACCTTACTTTTGTCTACGTGATCTTGGAGTGCTATTTTGCGCATGTTGGTTAACAGGTATCGCCATGCTCATTAGGCCATTGAGCTCTGCTATCAGCGTTGGATACAGCGGTTGCAATTTGCTTGTCAGTCTTTGCAACATCCGCTACCACTTCAGATGCGGTCCAGGTGATCGAAATAACAGAGGCTGACTTCCAAGTCATCTAAGGCCGCAATTGAGGTTGCGCGGAGCAATCCAAAAGTCGACAACCAGACGAAACCCATTTTTGTCACTTCATTTTTGGAATATCTTCTTGCACCTTCCACTTACCTGCCCCACATTGACGTTTCCCGGATCACTGTTGTCCCCAAGATTCCCTGTTCCTCACGTCCCGCTCACTTTTCGGTCCATTTCTGTGGCCTCTGTCTTAATTTTCCTCCATCACCACATTCTTTCCGACATATGGGTTCCATCTTTTCTTTTGGACTATCTTCAATGCGGCTTTCTTTATGACGATGGCTGTTTCGTATCCTTGACTATTCTCCATGCTCTTGTTCGTCCTTCTCATGTGAATCTTGCGCCTTTGCTCTTCGCTTCGTTTTATATCTTTGTAGACTTTAGCTCCTTTTACCATGATTCTCTATTCCGAGCCGCCTCTTTCTGGCGCTTCAGCGTTCCTAATGAATTACCTGTCCTCTTGTTACGCCGTTGCATTTCCACGTTCAGTGGAATCACCATTCAGTCACTGAGTAGTGTCCTGCAGAGACTTGCTTTCCACATTACTCTCCATTATTATTTTGGATGAGACATTTCCTAAGCTTGCAACATCTCACTCACCTTGCCCCGATGACCCTGCACATTGCTCCGGGACCGGGCGGTCTTGGGGGGTCGTTTCATAATGCTCCATAAACACGTACTTCTTATTAGTTTATCGATTAGCCAGCGCAAAGCAAAATATGCTGTCTTGGACACACCTGCACTCTGGTGTTTTCCGATCACCATATCATCGTTCTAACTGAGCGAAGTCTTCACTTATCTCGGCCTTTCGTTCAAATGGAGAGGCTAATAACCACCCCATCCCTAGAACAAACGCGCTTTTTCGCTTCAAGCCAACACAAGAGCTCCCATAACGCTACTTCAATGATTAGAAATACTTTGCAGCTTCCTGCTACTCTATCAGATTCGAAGCATCTTTCTGATGGTAGCACATCGCCATGCCTTAGTTAGTTCTCTCCCGTGTACACAGATGACTTCGTCTGCCCAAGGACACATCGACGGCCTACTTTAACATTGCCAACAAATTCTGTAGCCACGTGATACCATCTCTGCCTATCATGATTTCTTTTCGCAAATCTCGTCTGGGGCGCCATTAGTCGAACTCCTATCCTATAAACAGTTGGCGATCCACAACTCTTATCCATCGCATTGCTCCAGCTCCTGTCTTTGTGTGTGGATGGCCCGTTTTCGACAAAGCTTTTGCAAATGAAGCTGGGGGAACGATATTTTTATCTGTCGATGGTTCCCTGCTCCGCGACGTTACAACTACACCATCAGCTCACCGCTAGCTCAGGCAATTATCCAAGATCCCTCGCCTATTCATACGAGAGACTCAGTTGCGTCCGGGAGTCTTTGCAGTGGAGATATGCTGAGCTAGGCGCAGACCACCTCTCTCAGCATCCTTTCTTCATTGCCGTGGAGCTTGTGGCCAGGAAGAAGCTCTGACACATCGGCTTCGGCGTTCACACAGGATGTTCGCTGTAAAAAGCAATACGACATCTCAAAGCAAATTGTGACTGCAACCAGCCTTCGCGATGTTTAGATTACATCGATATCAGGAGTGCCCACTTTGTGCTCCTTTATCAAGTCCGATTTGCCCACTACCAATGACTCTACCGCGTGTGTTATAGCTGTTTCCATATGTGATACTAATCACAGGGATCCAATTTATAGACTGAAACTAGGCAGTTGTGGTGTTGATCCGCATGCAGAGATGATTTCTAGATATGTACCGATACACTTTCCGCGAGAGTCATGTACTCCCCATGACCCCGAGATTCCGAGCAACCGCGGATTTACTTATTCTGCTACTGTAAAACATCTCAAATCCCTGAGTCTTTCACGGTTCGAAATTTCGAATCTGTGTGTCTTTAATATTTGCGGGACACAGTGTATGACACGTATATGCGCGGAGTGCTCACCACAATTTTTGCACCACACAAACTTGGTGTACGGTTCCCTCAAGTCTATGGGATTTTTTATTTATGACTATCTCATCCATATTCTGCTGGGACATTATCTTACCCGTGCAATTTGCTGTAATTTCTGACCTTGAGTCAAACATAATGCTAATACTTCACATTGCGAAGGTTGGATCCGTCTTCTTGAATCTGCGATATCTGTGACGTCAGAAGACGCTCTTCCTCGGTCGGAGAGGTCTTGTGTACAAAGCCATAGAGTGGAAGCCATCCCACTATTTGAAGGTGGGACTTGGTCCCTTCTGTCTTAGTATCTTACGCACCTTCGACTCTCGGTCCGCGTTGTCTACGATATATTGCTAGCGTTGGATAGCACCAGCGTTTCCGCAGTGATTATTTGCGTAGATAAGTAATTCACAGTGATACTAAGTCCAGCTGCTCAGCGCGACAAATAACACTGAATGAGTTGCATTATCTTAACACGCCGAGATACATCTGTTTTGACGACTAACCAAACCATAGGTCTATTAACACAAAAATTGATCAGCTTCTCCCAGAGTGCGTGGTTTCTTTACTTTGCTCCACTGTCTTGCGGGTAGAATGCTCAGTCAGAGGCTCAATGTGGTCTCCCTTAATTCAACTCCTTACTTCGACTTCAGCAACCGAGTAGTGCCACGTCACCTGAAGAAACCAGTACTCGAGTTCTGAATACTGTATTATAGAGCAAGTAGAAATGAATTCTGTACAACTCTCACAATAACTGTGCTTTTCTAATTCAATGGTTGTTGATAGCTCTGTTTATATTCATTATAGTTCCACAAATATAAATGGCACATAGCTCGAGGTGGGCAAAGTTTCACTTGGTGGCGAGAATGCAAGTCACTGATAACTAAATTGGAATCTGCGACTTCTTATGCTTGGCTCTATACTCTACCGGACAGGACCCATAGTCGAAATCAGTGACGCGTTTCTATCGTCTCCCAGTCGGATTGCCTATTTAAGGTTTGTCTGATGCTGGTATCTCCATGATTCGGCTTATAATGCCGGATAGTGAAATTGTCCATGAAAATGTATCTCGGTTGCCGCTCTATTTTCGTACGATATCCAGCTGCCTGCGACCACATTCTTGATGGGATATAGGAACATGTATCCTGGATACTTGCTTAGGACATTTGCTTTTTAGACTAGATCCACCTCCCCTTGTTATTAAGTCCCTTCCTCTGCGTCATCGTGGTTGTGGAACATCAGTTCAAATTACTGCTGCTGCTACCGTGAGCTGGAATCACTATGAGATTAGGGCCGTGTTTCACACCTTAATGGTTGCTAGCATCCTCTCTACCGAATTTAGCCGCCTGTTGAACTGCTTTGTTTGCCTCATGTTCTCCGCGCACCTATAGACCTCTGATTCATTCATGTTTTATCTGTCAGCACGCCTCTCGTCTGGTTCAATGACCAAGTGGTCTGTCGAAGATATGACAGGTTGCCGGCGAAAATTTGATTGATCAAGCCCCCTTACCCCTTATTTTCTTCCTGCGGTGGTACTCCAAGACCGGAGACTTCAAGAACTGGAGACCTTTTCATGAATGGTGTGGTTGCGATGCCAACTGCGCTCTTTCAGTCAGCCATTTCTTGACACTTTCACTTGACTGATTTTCTCTTAATTGCCTCTGTTTGTTTTTCCTTTCTTTCTAACGTTGTTTATGATTATCGTCGCCGTGACGCAATTAATAGCACATGTGTTAATCTTCTTTCACCTATGTTACACCTCTTTTCTTTGCATTTTGTCAACATGCCGCAACTTTTCAACATACTGAAGAAACAGTCATTGCTTATGCGAACTAACCTAATGTTTCCTGAACCCGATAAGTTCCACTTCTTTTTTCATCTTCGTCTCCTTTAATCCAGGTCGCCGAATTGACCGAGCAAAACACCCAGCTTAAACGTGAGTTGGATTTGTCCGCCGTACGTGTCCGTAACATTGAGACCGTATTGCGGCTGCAGGAAAAGAACCTTTGTGCTTCAAAGCCCCACGATGGCGGCAAAGTCTTAGTGGATTCGGAGTAGGTTATATGCACATTGGGCTTTATTTATTGCATTATTGTGGCACCTATATATCGGTGCACAGTTTGTGTGTTTGCATAGCACGTTTTTTTCTCATGCTGCCCCTACTGCTCTCCCTCTCTCTCTCTCTCGGAGTCGGCTTAGCTCCGGCTGCCTCCCCAGCATTCTCTTTCTTCAGTTGGCTCTCTTATGATTGATAGTATAGAACGTGATGTTACACAGATAAGTCGCTGTGCCCTGGTCGGTGGTTAACATGTGCACACACGAACTTACATCTCTATTGTCAACATCGTCCCTCTTTATCGAACTATGCCCTATGATCCCATCAGTTATCAGTTTCGTTGTGGTTGTCCGCTGGTGTGTATCCATGTGTGCACTGGGATGCTGTTCATAGACTAAGCGATCGCTCAAACACAGCACACCGTCTTCAGATTTTTGTGCTATTCACACCTCATTCTCTGTGGTTGTCTGACACATGCGATTCTCATTCTAGCCAACTACGACTTCGATTGACCCCTTTTCCTTTCCGGGTAACTACTTTCTCGGGGCCCAGGACACTGCAACTGTGTGAAATTCAGCTTCAATACCGCAGTTAGTGGCCACACAGTTACAGACGTCGTTTATGGTGCACATAGCGGTTGGTGGTTACAGCCGTCTTGTCTGTGTGTTTAACCGTTTTGTTGACACTTTTGGGCTTAGGGTTTGCTTCGTTTGAACCTACACTGTTGTATAGTTGCCAGTTCACGACTGCGACCAAACGAAATCTGGTATACTAACCTATTTGCTCTTCCAGCAGCAGTTTGCTCCTGGATGCTTGGCGACTTGATTTGGTCTGCAAGCCCATTCTTCACATTCTGCTTTTTCTCCTCTCCCAGGGTGTGCTAGTGAGCTTGTGGATAGAAGTGTGTGACCTAATGTGAAAGCGAGCCTTACAAACATTACAAGCTTGTCTCTCCGACGAATGTCTCGGTGCATTCAATGAATGGAAAAAGTACTCGCTATTAAAACTTATCGATTACACTTTGCCGACGCTATCGTACGAGGATCTGGCAGTTTGGTCGAAATAGCTTACTTGTTCCACGCCATAATCAGCCTTAATTCACAGTCGGCTCATCATCATAGCTGGAATGAAGCCGTTGATGATAAAGCGCACTGCCACGTGTGGTAAGCAATTCCATGGAACTTGCAAACGCCGTAAATTCTTTGTCTGCGCAATCTTGCGGAGAACGAGCGAAACTCCCTTCAGGAACGCTCAACGATGCCATGCAACTTGACTGAAATTCATAAACAAAAAAATTACGATTAAAGGCCGACCACCTAACAGTCGGCTTAAAGAACACAAATTTAACATCCATCAGCGCATTCCTAGCAACAAAAACGCTATCCTGTATGTACACAAACGCCCAAGATCTTCTAAGCAATTTGGCCGGACTTATAGAACTCCATGACTCACAACTGCAGGACCTCTTCATGGGTACCGTGACCTGATTAAACTTTAAGATAACCGATTCTATGATCAATTTACCCGGTATGTCGCTGCTTCCGAACGTTCGAAATGGAAGGGGTGGGGGCGTGATTCTTTGTTATAATACAAACCTCCGGTGTAAAGTTATCGATTACCCGGAAATCCCCGCTTCTGATTCGCTTTGGTGCCGCCTACGGTTGCGGAACAAAGACACATGTCTACTAGCCGTAATTTACCGCCCACCAAACTCTACGTCGGAGATGGACTTCAAACTGAAGCACGTCTTTCAGTTTGCTTTGAACAAATGCTACACCCACTTTTTATTGTTAGAGACTTTGATCTACACGACATGGAGACGCCAGCGACCGATAATGCGCAGTTTAAAGCGTGCTTACAAGAGCTAATTACTAGCCACCCTCCTCCCTTCCCCTACGAGATTTCGAACTTCTAAAAGCCGTCGATACTCGATCTTGTGTTCACTAACGAAGAACTCATGGTTGCCGGGATAGTTACAAGCACACCACTGGGTTGCCGTTACCATGTTACTCTTTTTTGACTATATATGCTATGCGGAATATCCTGAAAAAGTGGGTGATAAAGTGCATACTGTCACGCATATAATGTGTTACCTAAACTCGTTAAGGATACATCTTGCACTTTTGTAACCGTATGCCCCCCAGACGTTGCCTGGAAAACGTTCACAAGGACGTTTAGCGTACTGGGAGCGCACGCATGGTAAAAAAATATATGTTGGCTATAGAATTGAAGGCTGCTAGCTCAGGTTGTTCAGATGGCTGGTGAACTGGTTGCTGAGCTTGGCAATTTTGTTGCAAACGTTTCGTCACCAATCGAGGTGACATCATCAGTGCGTAGTTGAGTGGCGTGTAATAGCGTAGAGTAGCGTAAAGGAGCCTCGGTGAGAGTGCCACCGAGGCTCCTCTACGCTATTGCACGCCACTCAACTACGCACTGATGATGTCACCTCGATTGGTGACGAAACGTTTGCAACAAAATTGTCAAGCTCAGCGAACAGTTCACCAGCCACAAATATATGTCATTCCTGAGGAACAGAACACGTAATCTAGGTTCCTGTGGGATTTGGCATAGCGAGCTCACAAAGACTGTCCGAATGCCGAAACCTGGACTTCATACGCAACACATAACTTCTGTGTGAAATTAATCAGCGAGGACAACAAAACGCATCAGCAGGAGTTACTGAAGCCATTCCTCACGAACCGCAAACTTCTGTACAGGCCTTCGAAAGGTGAAGCGAAGAATTCCAGCCCTGGTCACGGCTGATGGAAGCAGCCGATCTCCTACAGCTTCAGTACTCCCAAACTGTCCAGCTAAAAACCAGCCCACATATTCACCTCGTTTCCATTACTCCACCGTCAGGTTTCTACAACATCACCTTCACTGCGGAAGCTGAGTTAAAGAACCTGTTACCCTTGCGTATCCACTGTTCTGGAGTCGACAACATCCAACCGAAGGCTCTGCAGACAGTAGCTAGTGATCTAGCAGAACCACTGGCTGTTTTTTCAATGAAGTCTAGAGGAGAATCAGATTCCACGAGTATGGAAGCATGGGGTCATCACTCCTACTATAAAGGAGGTAGCCGCACTGACCCTACCAACAACCGTCCAATAACACTACTTCCCATATTCTCCAAATTTATGGAATCAATGATTGCAGATGCGCTAGTACCACAACTTAATAGCCCAAGAGCAACTTGGCCTCCCACTAAAGCGTTCATGTACTACTAACCTATTATTTCCACGTAACAGCTGGACTGAAGCCGTTGATGATGGAGCAGGAGTCGATGTCATCTACCTGGACTTCTCAAAAGTGTTTGATTGCTTAGACCATCGGTTTTTCATTCATAAACTTCGGAACGACGCCATTGGCCATCCACTCCTGAGTTGGATAAGCAATTTTCTACAGGAAAGTTGGTTGGAGCTGAGAATCCGGGAATCTCTGTCTGATGCAATCGATGTGAAGTGTGGTGTACCACAAGTCGCCGTGCTTAGGCCTCGTCCATTCTTGGTGTTCATTAACGATTTGCCGAGATCGATTGCTTCCGATTTCCTATTTTTCGCTGCCAATGTCAAGATATGGCGAATGATCAAGGGATCTGACAACTACGAGCAGCTCCAGTGCGATCTTAACACAGTGTCGAACTGGTCAGTTCAAAACGCCCTACCATTCAACGTAGACAAATGTCGCACAGTGCAATTAATGCATCGACATGACTACAAGTATTTGCAGACAAACTCCCAGGCACGTGACCTTAGTCTGCTCGTACAGAATGACCTCAACTGTTCAAAACAGGCTGAGGTAGCTGCGAAAAGAGGCAACCAGCACGTCGGCATGCTGCGAAGGGCATTCGGGAGATTTGACCCATCAATCTTCCCAATGATGCACATTTCTTACGTGCACCCACATGTTGAATGCACTATCCAAACTTCGCAACCTTGGTTAAAACGCGACCTAGAGGCATTAGAGGCACCACAACGAAGGGCAATAAAAAACGTAAAGGGCCTGCGCCATCACTCTTACAACGAAGGCTGAAGTTGCTAGGAGTTTTCCGCGGACGCTATCGAAAGCTGCGCGGCGATCTCATATTAGTGTACCAAATATTGAGTGACCCCAACCACGTATGCCGCCATTTGCTGAAACAGCTACAGCACGCAGCTCAGGGGTAACTGCTTAAAATTGAAGAAACATTATAACTGTCTAGAGTGTCGAAGGAATTACTTTTCCCTTCGGGGTTGCCAACCCTGGAACACACTCTCAGGCTCAGTTGTATCCTCCCCTACTTTGGGCATTTTCAAAATACGATTGGATGTTGCTCTTAGGTCCCAACGCTTCATTACCTAAATTTCGCCATTTTGGATTACGCCAATCATGCTATTCTACAGGATTTATGTGTCACATGGACCCAAGAAGGCGGCGCATAAGTAGGCGACCATATTTTACTTTTCTCAAGCTTTACATTATCGATCACTGTACGCCGTGTATTTCTGCTTGCCTACACTTAAGTTTTACTTTACACTGACCTTATCAGCGGATTCATCTCGGCAGATGCTCGGTAGATGACTCATATTTTGATTTCATCGTATTCACCTCCACCATCCTACGCGACATGTCAAACGCTTGCTTTTGTCCCGTGATAAATCATTGTTCATTGTCGTCCACTGAACAGGTGGTTTTCTAATAAAGGTCGGCATGTCCTCCCCCAGTATTGTTTTCGAGCCATTTCCTGGCATACCTCGCGCAATGCACAAAGTAGGCGGCGTGACGCAATCTGGAAGACAAGCTGTACTAACAGAACAGTTTGATGATCAACGATTCTATTTCTCGCTGCCCTGCCAGCGATTGCCTCCTCGAGCGACTCTAGATCCTGAATCATTAAGATAGTCGATAAGGCTACTAAAATTGACAGCTTATGAAAATCAGCATATAGTGTTTAAATATGGTAACATTTACCCACCTTAGGATGGCTATACTTTTGCTCAATGCCTCTTTGCCAGGCTTGAACGTGATCTGCTTTTTCAATCATTCGGCTTTAACGAACATCGGTAGTCGCAATCGGACTTATAATTCACGCTGTGGTAACTTTCTTTTCGCCTATCGCCACAGCGTTCATCTACACTTAGGTTTTCGTATCTCACTGTTTTTCATGTGCTAGTCACCATATTGATCAGGTGCTCAGCTGTCAGCGGTGGTCCGTGGTGTTTTGCCGTAATCGTTTAACTCGTAACCTACGTGCCCCTTGTTCGAATACTCGCTGCAGCGCGGGCTTACTTGCTCGTGTAGTGTCCCATAATACCTACAACCCTGTGTGTTAGCATGGCAGCCAAACATTCGTCTAGTATACTTTAGTTCTGCTAATATCTTTTTCTGGCGTCGACATTCATCCATTGAGGTCCCCCCAGAACATCCCTGTGTAAAGTGCCCAACATGTGTGACGAGGCCGATTGTGTACCACTAAATTATTGCCCTCCAGTTGTGCTCCATTTCGATTGCTCTTCGCAAATCAGCCTCCGATATACTGATTGCTATTTTGTCATGTTGTTGCTGATTGATCACCGTTAACCTGCTCAACATTATTTACATCGTTCATCTCCATTGTACTCGTTGGGCAACCGCAATGCGCCCAACTATTGTACCTCCACTGGGTACGCTTCAGGTCACAATTCACTTTTCACAAATTTCCGATTGTTCGCACACTTTCTTCATTACATAGGAATATAGCCAAATCGGAACGTCTACTTACCGGCTGGCGCTCACAAGTCCTCCGCCTACTGGTTCAGGCCGAACAGCACAAAGCCGACTTAGCACACGCTGTAGGGGAAGCACGTCGTAAGACAGCCGATGTAGAGCAGTGTCGACAGGCAGCCGCTTTGGAACAAGAGGCGTCACGATTGAAGACAGAAGCTTCGGAGGCCGCACTAACCGCAGAGAAGGAGCGAAACGAGGTGGGTTTTGCTGTTTTGTCTTCACTCCCTAGTTATTTACGACCTCTTCATCTCTTTCGCTATGTTACGTGGGATTTGTCTCTACCATATACCGTTCATTTGACTTCGTAGTGGTTGATCACCCAAATCAACGACCTGAGGGACTTAGCTCAGCTGCAACATAGCATATGTTCCTTCATACGCCTCCTAGTGATATCTTGTTGTTGTTATCGCAAGCTACGCTGTTGCTCATCGTGCGAAACTTTACCCTTTCTTAACAGATACTCTCGAAACAGCTGGAACGAGAACTTGCCAAGCTTCACCGTATCCAAAACGAGTTTCTGGTCCTTCAGAAAACCGCTTCTGTCTCATTCGCACGCATTCATGCAGATGCGACCCAGTTGGCTCTCTGCTTCCGGGGTGTTTTACATCCTGATTCAGCATCAAATATTGGAAGCATTGATAAACCGTCCATCGCTAGTGTTTTCCATCGCGTGCGCCAGTTGGAACGCAGACTTAGCTTTGCAGTCGACCGATTGCCTGTGCTTCGTGCCCGACTCTGCTCCCGTCGCGTCGTTCCTCTCGAACAAACCGATCAATCTGTGCAGACACATTCTCTTTTACATGAACCTAGTGCTGGACCTCTGTCTTACTCAGAATTGGAGGAGTAGGTTTAAAAATGCTCCTATTTCACCATCTAGTGCCATGATGATTGCGTAACTTTGCGATAAGACCGGTGTTAATGTATGTATCAGAGACCTTTCCAGTTCGCAATGGTGACACTAAACCATTGACTATATTGGATTGCTTGTCCTTGCGAAATACTGCTCACATCTAGTGGGAACACCGAGCGAGTACTACTGAGTTCCACCAGTATGTTTTCGACAACTGACCCGATGGTACTTCATTCGAGTGTTTATTAAAGCTTAACAGCTTACTTTGGCTAGATCATGTATGCCCATTAGTATTCTGCCGCATTGTTCTTTATATGATGCCGCTGCTTGGGCGAAACTGCGAGGTGACCAGTTTGTGACATGGTATAAAAGCATAAAGGATTAACGGAGCGACTTGCCCAAACTAGTGCGTGCTGTCTTCTTAAATGCGGGCCTCTGGATTGTCCACACCAATGATTGGAGACCCTATCAGACATGGTGCAGTCGCGCAGTCAGAGGCATTCCTGGTTTCGGTTTCTTGCACCTGTTTGTTACTTTTTACCCTATTCTTATTAGTTTCGCGCACCGGCAGACTAGTTGATTTGAATTTTGTGTGTGGTGTTGCTTTCCTGCTTGACAATTTCAAGTCTGGACCACCTTGGCCTTCAACCAAGTCTTTGTAGTGGCTTCTTTCTTTGGCACACGTTTTGTGTCTTCTAAGTGCTAAATCTGTTTCAAGGCCGTCGCAACCTGACAGCTTTTGACCCCGAATGATGCGTACCTCGAATGGTCCATCAATCCACTGATCTTGGCAGCTGTGTTACCATTGACGAGCGCGTGGCTGTTGAATTTATTGTGAATACCACAGGCAGTTTACGGCTTCTTGGCGAAGGCCTGAATTATTTTTGATCTCGTGTGCAGAGCCAGACCTTTATCACTAATGGCGCGTCACTCATTTAAAATAGTTCCAGCGAGTATTCACTAGAGATGACCGGTTTTGTCCGTCGGATCGGCACCTACTACTACGTATGTCTGCGCTACTTATGGAAGACAGCAGTGTTTTGTTTGATGCATTTTTGTGGTTAGTCGACAATCCTTGGCCTTTTGGAGGAAATAGAGTCACCGACGTCTTTTGGGTGCCCTTGATCCCAGGTTTGGGTTAACGCGATCCTCACAGTTCTCTATTGCGGATATTGTATGGCAAGCATCCCACTACTTAGTAGTTACTTTGTGCGTTCGAACTGTTTACCTTGCTCGTTTTCCTGCGTTTATTCATCTTGAAGTAGAGGAATGGAACCACCGCGAAGATACCCCTCTTATGTCGTATTATATTATCCGGCTGTCAGCCGATGACACGCCTACCACATTTGCAGCTCTTGGCACCTAAACACTGATAGTCTGCCTGATGCATCTAGACCGTGCATTATCCCCCACTTTATTCTTCGCATTCTTCATTAATGGGGCAGCTTACAAGTTAGTTATAACGATTTTCTCAGTCGGAACGACTGACACGGTCCTCCCAAATTCTAACCCCGAAGCGAACGGCACGGTCCCATCGGATTTCTTACTACGCGCACGACATGAACATTCACCACCGACACACCCAAGCCTGAGAGAGAGATGAGACAGTCCTGCTGCAGTGTGCCTTTACGAACCGGCAAAATTTGAGAGCTGTTGCATGGTCTCGATTGTATGTCGCGATTGGTGACTGTTGAGGTACCCCTCCGAGAGTCAAAGCGAAGGCTGGGCAGCGACCCAATAGTCCTTTAATAAGGAATAAAGAGTTATTTTATACTGTACACAAATTTGAATCATTCTTTTACTATAGCGCACTAGCAGATTCTTGCTGGCTATCTGCTTAAATTCATTGACTCTCGCCCGTCGTCTGTTTGCTGTTGTTTTTGCTACTCTTATCTTATCTGGAACAACGTTAAGCTTTGCTAACAATAATCCAAACAAATTCCGAACTCTTCATTTGGTCCATGCAAATGTGCTCAGCTTGTGCAGGAAGCGCTGATTGGCTTTCCACTCACTGGCCCCGTTTGTTCCGTTCCCTCGCTCTATCAACCAGTATGGCGATGTGCGCCACCCGCTCAGGGTCAGTGTCGCTCACTGACAGCTCACTTGTCCTTGTCCAGAAGCAAAGCCGTGCTTCACTCGCAATACTGCAAACCAATTCTTCACTGTTCATCCGACCCTTGTAGTCGTGATCATTTTGTGCTGGAGATGCAGATTGGATCTTATTCCACTGGCCACGCATCAGTTTTGTTCCCATAACCTGCCAGCTATCACCACAATGACATGTGTAGGCTTTGACACACAACGGTCTATTTCATCATCATCATCATCAACAGCAGTACATCAGTCATTTGAACTGATGCTTCGCTGCCATACAACCACAACGACCTACGGAACGAAAAAATTAAGAAGGAAAGCAAGGGGACTTAATGGAAAATTTTAATTCCCTAGGCGAACATTCACTTTCAAGACGCCTACACATTGTCAACAACATACCGTCACAAACAGCTTACTATCGCGCAGATAAGCCGGCATCGACGAGACAGCTTCCTTGATGTCTTCCTCGGTGTCTTCATTTCCCGCTGCCGAATCAATTTTTGTCCGTCTCTAGCCTTGCGCCACTTTACAGCTGACAGGCAACACAACGCCCTCCTCGATAAGCGGTGACCGGGCATACGTAATACATACCTAAGCCAACGCTATCTGTTGTTCTAAGGAACCAGCTTGAGTATCACTACCTAGCACACGTTTACGCACATCATCGTTGCGGACACGCTGGCGCCATCTGACACCAGCAATGCTCCGCAGACAGCGGTTGGCTTGCTGCCCTACCTCTTCGTGGTCCCAGCTAGGTGGTTCGGATGTACCCCGTTCTAGCGAAGTGTTCGCCGACAGTGTTCCACCTCGTTGAGGCGTTGTACTCTAGCAATTGTGCATATTTCATGGAGAGGATTGGGCCCTGTTTGATGATCTATCAAACAAAAGACTCCCAATGGGCGCGGTTTCCCTGAATCCACCCCGCTTCCTTGCAGGTTGGCTATTTAGCCAGAGGCTCGGGGTTGGGTCCCCTAAGTCAACTCCGTACTTCGGCTTGGGCAACCGGGTAGTATCACACCCTCTCACAAAACCATACACTGTTCTATCGTTTCTGCTACTGACCTTCACGCGACTTCATCATACGCTAATTGTTTGTTTGCTAACAATCCTTAGTTTCCGTTACCCGAATCAAGTGTTCAGAAAGCTGGCTGCGATTTCGGTTGCGCCGCGAACCGCGGAGTTCAACCTGTGGCTCTTCTTCGACCTCAATCTTCGTTCCTTCTGGCGTGCTTCACCGTTCGGACACTCATGCAGATTGGACAGCAAACCGGTCTAGCCCGCACCCTAGGGTCTCTCGATATCGACGTCTGGTGCCTTTCTGAAACTCGATTGCTGGACCCCAGCACTGTACTTACGCTGACATCCCCCACTAACCACGAAGCCAGATATCACCTGCGTCTTTCTGGAGATCCAGAAGCAACCTCAGCGGGTTTGGCTGATGTAGGTATAGCACTAAGTGACCAGACCGAGGTGTCACTACTGGACTGGTTCCTGATTAACAGCCGACTGGGCAGTTCGACTTCGAGGTTTATTTAGAATCAACAAGCGTCGCGAAGAGAGACGCAACTTGTTTGTGATCTCTGCGTACGCCCCAACTGATTGCAGTAGTGCCTCAGTTAAGAACGACTTCTATCAGGAGGTACATCAGCTGTTGACTAACTCTAAAAGTCGGATGTCGTTGCCCTTGCTGGGGATTTTAATGCACGGGTTGGCCGCCTGTTACCATATGAACGCCACCTTGGTGGTCTCCACGCGCTAGATGAGGACCGATCTGATAACGGGGAGAGATTTCTCACATTGTGCGAAGACAACCATCTGTTTCTCTCGAGCACTAACTTCAGGCGTACGAAGAAGCGTTCCGCAACGTGGCGTCCCCCTTCGCCAACACAACCGTGGTCTCAAATTGATCACATTGCAATTAGCTTCAGATGGCGTGGCAGCGTACTGGACTGCAGGTCCTTTTGGTCCACCTTCGTTGACTCAGATCATGCACTGATCTGCGCGAAAATCTGCATGTGTTTTGGGGGTCCCGAAAGACGAAGCACCGCAAGATTGATGTAAACAGATTAACTGATTCCTCTGTCCAGGCGAGCTATCAGTCTTCACTGGCATACGCACTCAGTTGCAATCCACCGCAAGACATAGGGGAACTGCTTGTATACGGAAGGCAATGACCATTTCCGGATAGTCATAGCTGCGGCCTAACTCGACGCCCGTTGAAGGCTTGGATCTCTGTTCGTTCTCTGGAGCTGTTTGGACGCCGCAAAGATATCCCGGCGGAATCAGATTGCAACGAGCGGCGCCGTTCTGCCAACCAGGCTGCTCAAGCAAAGCCTACGCAAGGATTACTAGGCATGGTGGTCTGAGCGTGCTTTAGAGATGGAGACCGCTGCCCTCTCTGGCAACACTCGCAAGCTTTTCCAACTCATTCGGTCCACTGATCTCAGGAAGACTGGTGTCAGTGAGGTTATTTGCGAGGCGGATGAGTCTCAGATCACCAACCAACAGAAGCTTTTGAACCGCTTGGCTGGGCTCTTTCACTCGCAATTCAACTGGCCTTCACCGTCCAGCAGTGGATGCAGTACACCTTGTTGTCTAACTTGGCTCGTCCCACTGAATCCACCCAGAGAAGCAGAAGTTTGTCCCGAGATTTGACGCTTGAAGCGGTTCAAGGCTGCCGGCTCAGACGGACTTCCTCCGGAGCAGTTCAGGTTCGGCGGTGTGGCGATCATTAACCAGCTGACGTCGTTGTTCGCAAAGGTCTGGCATGAAGGGAAAGTGCCTTCCTCTTGAGGCGAATCAGTTATTGTCCCGAATTTCAAAAAAGGCGCTCACATTTCATGTGTTAAGCATCGCGGCATTAGTCTTGTTTCGGTTGCCTCCAAGCTATTGGCATCCA